GTGGTAATGTGCTCAGGAGCTCTCAGGAAAACAAAAAACCTACTGGAATCAGTAACAGGAATCAGTAGGAAGATAGTGTTTGAAAGAAACAGTTTTAATCCCAGCACTGAGGAAGCAGAGGTAGGCAGATCTCAGGGAGTTTGAGGCCAGCCTGGTCAGTAGCCTGGTTCTAGGACAATCAGGACTGTTATACAGAGAGAGAAACCCTGTCTCTTACCCAGCTCTTAACCATCAAGAGTATGAGACAGAAACTAGTGACAGATGGTGAGAGTGAGGATCCTATTTATTTATAAGCAGTACTGAATAAAACTCAGTGGTAGAACCTGCAGAAGGCCCTCAGACCCTCAGTACCACAAGGGGAGAAAAGAAGAGCCTCTGCGCTCTGGTACTGTAGAGGCTGCTGCTGCTGGTTTGATTGTGCTTTGCACTGTAGTTGACAGGTTTTTCAGTTAATACTGGTTTCTGGGCGGCAGAGGCTGGTGTGGAGGAGCTGTCAGGGCTAACATTTACAACCACTACTTACTCTTCATCTAACAACTGTAAGAACAAAATATTTTCTTCTCAACAGATATTCTGCCTCCATGGTGGCCTCTCTCCATCCATAGATACACTGGATCATATAAGAGCCCTGGATCGTTTACAAGAAGTTCCACATGAGGTAAAATTGGCGGTTGTTTTGTTTGGTTTTAACAAAAAAATAGTCATGTGTGGTAAGGTTAAACGTAACTACTAGTAATTCACAATGCATCTCTGTTCTTGACCAGGGCCCAATGTGTGATCTCTTATGGTCAGATCCAGATGACCGTGGCGGATGGGGCATTTCACCACGTGGTGCTGGCTACACCTTTGGACAAGATATTTCTGAAACATTTAACCATGCCAACGGTCTCACACTGGTGTCTCGAGCTCACCAGCTTGTGATGGAAGTAGGTACTTTTCCTGAAGAATTACCTTTATCTCGTGGTATATGCATCTGTAATGGACTTCATGACTTAGGATTCAAGAAACATCCTCATTAAGGAAGAATCTTAATTTACTTTTGGAAATAAGAGAGCTACTAGCTTCCCAGAGCAAAATTAGCATTCTCTTTTTAAATTAAGACATAAAACCTGTGAAAATAATAGTATATATATATATATATTTTTTTTTTCTTTGCTCAGATTCCTAAGCATATATATTTGTTTTCTCATTCTTTCTCCCCACTTTACTTTCTTCTGGTGTTTGAATAAGCCCTGACAAATGCTCCTTATCCCCAAATATCCATGTGTATTTTCCTAAACTGTTGTGACGCATGTTCCAGTCAGAATGTTTCCATTGGTATACTCCTACCTAAATACCCAAGTCAGATTATTGTAACATCCAGGTTTACAAGTAATTCTTCAGATTTTCTTGATGTAACCTTGATGGTTTGAAATGACCAGAGTTTTATTAAGAAATAGCTTTCTAAATCTGGGCATGGTCGGTGCTTGTAGTCCCAATATTTAGAAGGCAAGGGGGGTCATGAGTTTCAGTCCAGTCTAGGATATATAAGGAGACATTGTTAAATAAAGTTCCCTTGAGAGGGGCTGGAGAGATGGTTCAGCAGTTAAGAGAGCATACTGCTCTCCCAGAGACTCCTCGGTAGAGACTTGACTAATGTTCCTTACGATTATGGAGTTATTATATGCATGTTTGAGTTGCATGCTCTCAAGTGATGTGTCTTTGGTGCATTGTATCAAGGAGATTTGAAATCTGTGCCCTGCCAGTTTTATAAACTGGTCACTTAGTTGAGGTGGTAGCTGCAGCAGCTCCTATTGTTAGTATTGTTAATATTGGTGGAACAAAAGAGAACGAAATCCCTCTAAACTAGCAAGGAATGACTTTAAGGAGGTGGGAACAAACTTCACCAGCCCAGAACAGTCAAGGAGCAGTGTAGGAGCATGATTATGAACACAGCATTGTAGTGCCATTAAACCTCATTATAATTATATAATCATAAATGTCAATGATGACTGGATACATTTTAAATATAATGACAAAGACTTACTTTCCTAAAAGTCAGAGACTTTGAAATTAGAAGATTATCAAATTTCAGTTATTATGAGATAAAACTAAAACATACTTAAAATATCACAAATTAAAGAATGGAAATGGTATGTTGTGAATCAAGTAGATAATTACCAAACATAGCCCTTGACGTGAGTGAGGAGTCTGGTGCGGGTGACCATTAGATTATCCAGGCCATTACTGATGAGCATTGGCTCAGCTCTCCCATGAAAGCTTACCCAAGTTGCTGTTTGCCCAATACTAGCTTCAAGATTTCTGTAGCAAACTTTGGAAGGCAGGCACTTTCTATCATGTCTCGGCACTTGGGACCCTAGGGCAATTATAAATTTGAGAATACTGTGACCAAATGGCAAAATTCTTTCTCAAAAGAAAAGAACAACAACAACAAAAAAAAGGCACGCATACACGGTAAGTAAGCAAATAAATAAAGTGCTTGGCAGAGTTTATGAGGAAAAATGAGATTACCATCTTTGTCTGAAAAGTTCAGTGTATACCTTAAGCTAAGATCTCAGTGGTTACTGAGATCTATAGACTCTTGTACCTAATAATTGTCCAGTATTCTGAGCAGGTACAGAAACTGTTGATCAAAGGAGATAACATGATTCCGTAGCCACAGAAGTACTTAGGATTTGAGTTCTGTGTCAAGATTGAATTTAATGATGAAACAATGACCTTTTCTTACTGTTGCAGGGATATAATTGGTGCCATGATCGGAATGTGGTTACCATTTTTAGTGCACCCAATTACTGCTACCGCTGTGGGAACCAGGCTGCTATCATGGAATTAGATGACACTTTAAAATATTCTTTGTAAGTAACTGTACATTTTAATTTATGTAATCACTTTAGAGGGAAAAGGTAACTGGTAAAAAACAGTTAGGGGCTGGAAAGATGGCTCAGCAGCTCTGAGCCCTTACTACAGTCATGAGAACTGAAGTTCAGATCCCACAAAGACCTGTAACTCCAGCTCCAAGGGATCCAACACCCTCTTCTGGCCTCTAAAGATACATGTACATGTGTGCACAGAGTCATATACACACGTGCACGCATGAATAAAATTAATCTTCTTGGAATGAAAACCGTGAAAGAGTTCTGTTCATCGTAAAAATTGTTTTCTTTTGATATGCTGGGCATGCAACCATGGCCTCATTCATACATGCCAGTTCATTGCTATGCCACTGAGCTATACAGCCCAGAAAAGGGTTTTAATTATTTACAGTTCATTGAAATTTTCCCAAGAGCTTATAGGTAATGGAAAAACATTTAACCTTAAGAGAACCATAAGCCAGGTGCAGTAGTACACATACTTAATCCCAGCACTCAGGAGGCAGAGGTTGAGACCAGTCTGGTCTAAGCAGTGAGTTCCAGGACAGCCAGGGAGTACATACAGATACCTTGTCTCAGAAAAACAAACTAACAAGACAGAGAAACCTGTCCATTATAACTACTAGAGGCTTGCATCCCTTACTCACACATTATTCTAACAAAAACAACTATAGTGGAGCTGGAGAGATTGTTCAGTGGTTAAGAACACTAGCTGAGTTCAATTCCCAGCAACCACATGGTGGCTCACAGCCATCTGTAATGAGATCTGGTGCCCTCTTCTGGTATGCAGACAGAACACAGTATACATAATAAATAAATCTTTTTGGGGGGAAGAAAAAAAGAGACTACTTAGGGTACAGGAGTGATGCAAGTTAAATTCCCAGCACCTACATGGCTGTTCACAACCATCTGTAATTCCAAGGGTTCCATCTTCTGACATCTATTTAGTTAGTTAGTTAGTTATTTAGTTAGTTATTGGTTTTTCGAGACAGGGTTTCTCTGTGGCTTTGGAGGCTGCCCTGGAATTAGCTCTTGTAGACCAGGCTGGTCTCGAACTCACAGAGATCCGCCTGCCTCTGCCTCCCAAGTGCTGGGATTAAAGGGGTGCGCCACCACCGCCTGGCTCTTCTGACATCTTTGATCACTGGCAATCATAGCACAAAATTTTAGAAGAAGCTTAAAGTAATAAAACATGTACTACTGGGGGATGTGGCTCCACTGGCCCCTGCTTACCTAGCATACCCCACAAAATGAACCCCCCCCCCAAAAAAGAAACAGATAACAGACAAAAAAGGCACTTGATAAAATTCAGTGTGCTTTAAATAAAATCAGTAAGCTACACAGAAGGAAACTTGCTGTGCCTGTAGACAAATACTCACCCTGATTTAGCCAGGTGGTGGTGAGAGACAGCACTGACCCAAAGGCCCTTAAATTGATAATAGTGTCACAAGTATTTTCTGCCAGGCACTAACAGCCATGTTACCTAACTTTTCACCATAACTCTGTGAAGTAATATAATTTATCACAGGTAGTGACATGCTCAGAGTTATTCCAGCCACATGGAATGTAGTAGCAGAAGAATACAGAAAGGATGGCTTTGTCTAGTGAGTGTCTTAGTGGCTTAGCTGCTGATTCAATTTCTTTGTCATTTATAGTCTTCAGTTTGACCCAGCACCTCGTCGTGGAGAGCCTCATGTGACCCGGCGTACCCCAGACTACTTCCTGTAAATTCTTCCCCAGGACCTTTCTTTGTATGTGGAAGTATACCTGGCTTTTTAATATATATATATATATATGTGTGTGTTATATATATATATATATTTAAAAACAAGTCATCTGTGTGTTTCTGTAACAAATTGTGATATGTCTTGACATTAAACTACATCATGGACCAAACGTGCCATACTAATGATGAGCGTTTAGCACAATTTGAGACTGAACTTACTACACTGTGTTCTAGATCAGTCTGCCTGCTGTGTTGTAGGAACCATTCTTCTTGGCTGGTTAAGCAAAAAGGGGTCACTGACTGCTTCATCTCCTTTGCACTTGGAAATTTAGTTACAGTGTTTAACTGGCATGGATTAATAGAGTCGGAGTTTTATTTTTAAGATTTCACAACCTGACTTCCACTTAATTCATTACCCTGTATTTTATTGAAATGTGTAACTAACTGAAGAAGAGATTCTTGGGAGTATGTTGTCATAACATTAAAGAGATTTCCTTTCATTTAAACTAAATTACTGTTTGATGTTGATCTGCATTATTTCTGTATATTTGTCATGACAGTGCTTGCATCCTATTTGGTGTACTGAACAAATAAACTTTCCAATTTAAACAAAAATATTTTAGCTGTGATATGCATTAAGTGGAAGCATCACCATTTTAAAACTTGATACAAATACTTAAGACTGTGGTTATTTGTTTTCCATTTACTTTGGATTTTAAGATGGTCATGTATAGTCCCAAATGACCTTAAACTCCTGGGTTCCCCTGGCTCTACCTCCCAAGTGCTAGGATTACAGGTGTAGGACACCTTGCTGAACCACAAATATCTGATGTGTAATAAAAATAAGCAGCTGTACTGACAGGATTTACATGGTAAGCTTAGGGGCTGGGGATTAACTCTGGTAAGGTGCTCATTTATATTCATTTCCAAGTTACATGCACACATGCAAGTGCACACACACACAAGTAATGCTTGTTTATAGTTTACATTTAGAAGCAGAACAAAGTCAAGTATTTGCTGATAACTTTAGGCCATTAAAAAATCCATTTTCACATTCCTAAACATTTCATTGGGTGGTCTGTATTAACTTATTCTTTTGGGTAGGAGTGGGGAGGGTTGAGACAGCGTTTGTCTATAGCCTTGGCTGTCCTGGAACTTGCTCTGTAGATCAGGCTGGCCTCAAATTCACAGAGACCCACCTGCCTCTGCCTCCCAAGTACTGGGAGAGAGAGTTCCAGGACAGCCAGGGCTGTTACACAGAGAAATCCTATCTCCAAAAACAAAAAAAGATAAAGATATCTTAAGACAGACTCTAAGGGTATCAGTACATACAAAAAAACAACAGCTCACACCCCAAATGTACTTGCTTACTGTAGTTTCAATATGCTCCCCAAAGATCATGTTTCAAAAACTTTGTTCCCAGATTTAAGTCAAAAGTACATAGGATTAGTCCACTCTGAAATTTCTTTAAAGTCTTTTAACTTTTTAGAAATACAGTGGTATCAACATTCCTACTTAAAGATTTTGAGTTGTAAAATACTGTGGTAAGGTGGATTCAAGAAGCAGAAATCACAGTTCTTATATAAGGTGAGAATTGGTTTGTTTTAAGATGGTCTGACTCAAAAATTCCAGGAAGCATGTTTCACCAAGCCTGGCTGAGACCTGATATCAGGTGTCTGTCTTACTACATCTTTTTTACCTTGTTCTCACTTTGGTACAATGTAAGATGACATAGTCCTCTTCCATTGTATGTAGGTGTGCTCCTATGAACAAGAAGAGTTCAAGGTACAGCATGGCTTTAATGTGAACACTGCCCTGTGAGGTCACATGTACTGACTTTAAGGACAACAGGTAGTTCTGACTTTACTGGCCACTCTGTTCTTTCTCTTCCACGTTAAGTACCGTATCCACAGTTATTCCTATGTCCTCCAGTGACAAGCCTCCCTCTGTCTCCAGAGGCCTCCTGGGAAAGGAAGTGGAAAGACTGTATATGGATTTGTGGTACCCAATCTTCATCATCCAGTCAAGTAAGACCTAGAAGATAAAAAAGGCTTTAGTATCAGACTAAAGGTTCTCCAGAGTCTCTTACTGTGACACTGTACAGCTGTGTCATTCTGAAATTGTGTCCCAAGGAATGAAAAGTGATTTCCACATCTTTCAAAGAAATTTTCTAGACTTTAAAGGAGAGTGGTAAGTCATGAATTTGGTGATATGAATAACCTTTAATGCCTTTCTTCCAGAGAAAGTATAGGCCTACTAGCATAGTAGTAACAAAGTCTCATCCATAAGTAGGGTATGGAAAATATTCAATGAAATGTGGAGAACAAAAAACATTTGGAAACAGATATTTGGATCAAAATCTAAGCCAGCAGAACACATCAAAATCATGAAGGAGCTTTGTCAAAATAGACATATTTGGGCCCCGAGACAAAGCTCAACTTACTGTGAACCATTCCTATAACTGTCCATAAAGATTACCATATATATAATGGGTTCGAAGTCCAGCACCACAAAAAAAGAAAAAAAAAGTCATGATAAAGTTTTCAAATCCATTTGAAAACACATTTGCCTCAAAACATGAAATGTTATAGCATGTTTTGCTTCAAAAGGAAAAGTTGGATATATTCCCATAGAGCTATAGTCCCAGCTGAGGCTGGAAGACTACTAGAGCCAAAAGTTACTGGGTTTGAGATCAACCCACACAACAGCAAGATCTTCTGTCTCAACAACAAAAAAACAAAACAGATAAATGACAAGATAAAATGTTCCGCTGGTCTTTGGTGGCGCACACCTTTAATCCCAGCACTGGAGAGGCAGAGGCAGGTGGATCTCTGAGTTCGAGGCTAGCCTGGTCTCCAGAGCGAGTGCCAGGATAGGCTCCAAAGCTACACAGAGAAACCCTGTCTTGAAAAACCAAAAAAAAAAAAAAAAAATGTTCAAGTGCCTTGAATTGCTAGCCACCAGCCAAGAATTCACTACTGATCTATATAAGAAATCTGTATGTCATTAATTTTAATTAAGGCATTTTTAGAAGTGTGGGAATGGAACCCAGGTCTTTTGCACATGCTGAGTGCCCACTCTGCCACTAAGTTTATACTTCTAACATTACATCTTTCTGCCAGGCATGTGGTGGTGCACACCTTTAATCTCAGCACTCAGGAGGCAGAGAGGCAGGTAAATCTCTTGAGTTTGAGGCCAGCTTGGTCTACAGAGAGAATTCCAGGGCAGCCAAGGTTACAGAGAAACCCTGTCTCCAAAAAAAAAAAAAAAAAAAAAAAAAAAAACCTCTTTCTGAAGATGGTTTTGAGTCAGGGTCTCACTAGCTGGCTTCAAGCTCACAGTCCTGCCAGGTGTCATATCCATAACCCCTGAGGTAAAAGTTATACCCTGCATCCCCCAAATATGACTATTTTTAAAATAAGCTGTAAGGTGTGGTAATTCATGCCTGTAACCCAAGCATTCAGGAGGCTGACACAGACACACTGAGCTCTGGGCTAACCTCAACTACATAGAGTTTTAGGCTCCCCTGAGCTCAAAAACACCAAATCACCCAACAACTAAAATGTAATTAAACAATCAAGGAAATACAGCCAGTAATGCCTTCAAGAGAATGCCTGCTTGAAGCCTTAGATCTATCCTGTTGTGAATTAATCTTTTTGTACACTGAAGATGTATCATTCTGATTGGTTTAATAAAATGCTGAACAGCCAATAGCTAGGCAGGATTTTTCAGACACACAGGATGCTGGGAAGAGAAAGAGAGGAGTTGCCAGACGGAGGAAGCAACATGGGCAGAGTAAAGGTAATGAAGCCACAAGGCAGAAAGTAGATTGATAAAAATCTGGCTAATTTAAGTTGTAAGCTCTAGCTAGTAACAAGCCTAAGCTATCAGCTGAGCTTTTACAATTAATAAGTCTCTGTGACCTTATTTGGGAGCTGGCTGGTTGGGCAGAGAAAGACTAGCTACACTAGCATTCACACTAAAAAAGAAAAAGTGGGAAAAACAACAAAATGTAAATATGGGGATCACAATTCAAAGAAATTATCACTCCTTATGTAATTCAGAATATCCATATTGTCTATGTGGTAACAGATCCCACTGCCTCTGAACACACTATGGACAAATCTGATAAGTCAGTATTTCTGAAAACACTGATTTCCTCACCTGTGAATTCCAAGACTTGAAAAATCTCCTCCTCAAAACACTCCCACTTGGGCATCGAAGGGCAACTGTAACCACCTGGGAAATAGAAATATTCACATAAGCCACAGTGGTCACCCAGACCTGCAATCCACACAGGAAGCTGAGGCAAAGAGAGTGCACATTTGAGGTCAGCCTGAACTACAAAGCAAAGCCTTATCTCAAGAACGAAATCCAGATAGGGACTCCAGTCCAGCCTGGTGATGTGGCTCAGCTGGTAGAGTTTGCCTAGTATGTACAAAGCCCTGGGTTCAATACCCATCCCCACATACACCAGCAAGGTGATACAAGCCAGTTCCCAGCATTGCAAAGGTGGAGCCAGGAAGACTAGAAACTCAGTAAGTTTGAGGCCATCCTAGACTACATGAAACTACCTCAAAAAATGTTCTTAAGTAGGCTGAAGAGATGGCTGAGTGGTTAAGAGCACTGACTGCTCTTTTGGAGACCTAAGTTCAGTTCGCAGCACTATAGCCACAGGAAGTGGGGATATGATGCCCCCTTCTGACCTCCATGTGGTACACAGACATACATTCAGATAACACTCATACATATCAAATAAATCTAAAAGAAAATTGTTTTTGGCTGGGCAGTAGTGGTGCATGCCTTTAATCCCAGTACCCGGGAGGTAGAGGCAGGAGGATATCTGAATTCCAGGCCAGCCTCCAAAGCTACAGAGACACCTTATTTAGAAAAACAACAAAGGAAGGAAAAAAGGAAGGAAAAATTTATTTTTAAAGGGGCTAAAGAGTATGTACTGCTCTTGCAGAAAACCTGGGTTCAGTTTCCCAACACGAATACACATCAGGGACTTACAACATCCCACAACACCATTCTACGGGATCCAATGACTGTCTCTAGCCTCCAGGAGCATCTGCATGCACGTGGAACACATCAACTTATGCAGACACACACACACACACACTCTCTCTCTCTCTCTCTCTCTCTCTCTCTCTCTCTCTCACTCACTCACTTCTTTTTCCTAAGATACACAAAGTATCAAATGTTACAATGTGTTGACAAAACAGTTTCTCTTAAAATGGCTGCTTCAAAAACTGCTCTCAGGGAGGAGGGATGAGCAAAGGAACCAAGACAGGGCTAGAGAAACCCAAAGAAACAATTGACCTGACCTAGTGAGAGCATGGAGACCCTAGTCATAAAGCTGGGGAAACAACAATGGACCAAACCAAGCCCTCAGAATGTGGGTGCCAGCTAGGAGGCCAAGACAGTCTATGGGACCTCTAACAGTGGAGCCAGTCTTTAACCCTAGAGCACAAATGGACTTTGGGAGCCCATTCCCTATGAAGGGATTCTATCGCAGCCCAGATACAGCAAGGAGGGCCTAGGCCCTTCCCCAAATGATATGATGGACTTTGAAGGTCCCCTGTGGAGTGTCTCACTATCCCTGGGGAGGAGTTGGGGGTGGGTTGGGGGGACTGGTGGGGAACATGGGAGGATGGGAGGGCAAGAGAATGGGGGAATGGATATGTAAATATTAGTAATTAAAGAACTAAAAAAAAAACCTGTTCTCTGAGAAGTCTAATTGCTGAACTTCACAAAATAGGACAATGGCAGTCCTCTTTCTGGGCCCTAAATACATTAGGTGATTGTCCCCCTGCATTAGACAATCACCTGTGGCCAATAACAGAAACCAAGACAGGCTCCCTCCATTACCAGGCAGGTGGGGTATCCGTCCCACCCCAGTCCAGCAACAGTGAAGCAGTCCTTCACTGCACAAGCAGCTGCAGTGTCGTCTCAAATGGAGACCAGTGTGATGCCATCTATCTGCCTGCCTCAAAAGCTCCTGTTCCATAGTAAGCAGCTCACTGACTGATCCCTGCCTGAAGTAGCAGGTGTGCTCTACATGACAACTCAGCAGACTGCCTCCCGGAGCAGCACTCAGCTGAGCCTCTGATGCCATCCTCACAAGAGACACCACCCCAGGGCAGCCACAGGAACTCAAACCCTACCTGATGACATCAAAGGAAATGGAGAATACAAGAAACATACCTCTTCAGCTGTTTCCGGTGGCTCTTCAGGTAAATTGGGAACCTAAAGAAATATGAGTATTAGTGAAAGGAAAGTAAAAAAACATTCCCAAGAAGTGGGAAGTCTCTTGGGCTGGAGAGATGGCTCAGAGGTTAAGAGCACCGACTACTCTTCAGAGGTCCTGAGTTCAATTCCCAGCAAGCACATGGTGGCTCACAACCATCCGTTATGAGATCTGGTGCCCTCTTCTGGTGTGCAGATATACATGGAAGCAGAATGTTGTATACATAATAAATAAATAAAATCTTTAAAAACAAAAAAGAAGAAGTGGGAAGTCTCAAGAAGAGCCCAGTTCAGTAGGTTACATGCATCTAGGTTTTTAAAAAGTTTTCTTTATATGTACATCTACCAAGCATTTGTAGTGAGGCCCAGTCTGGTGGCTCAATTAAAGGTGCTTGCTGCCCAACCTGACTTGGGCTTGATTCCTAGAACCCACATGGAAGAAAAAGAGAACCAGCTCCCGTGAAGTTCTCCTCTGACTGCCACACATGCATACACATATTCACACACAATAAATTACTACTGTAATTTTTTTGGGGGGGGTTTCAAGACAGGGTTTCTCTGTTTTGTTTTGGAGCCTGTACTGGAACTCACGCTGTAGACCAGGCTGGCCTTGAACTCACAAAGATCCACCTGCCTCTGCCTCCCGAGTGCTCCGATTAAAGGCATGTGCCACCAATGACCAGCCTACTACTGTAATTCTTACTAAAGTTTTTTAAAGTTACAATAGAGCTGGGTGTGGTGCTGCATGCCTTTAATCCCAGCACTCTGGAGGCAGAGGCAGGCTGACCTCTGAGTTTGAGGCCAGCCTGATCTCCAGAATGAGTTCCAAGACAGCCAGGGCTGCATAGAGAAACCCCAAAAAAGAACTGCCATGTTGTCTCTTCACAGCAATAGAACATTGACTAAAGATACTGGCTGACAACCTGGGTTCAGTCCCCAGAGAAATGGATTCCCACAGGCTGTACTCAGAATTTCACACTCTCGTGTACACTCAACATACACTAAATAAGTAGGTGTAATTTTTTTTATAATCTCTTAAACTCTGTTTCAAAAAAAGAAGAGAGTGAGTTCACACTGGGTGAGCGAGTGCTTGCCTGGCATGCACCAGGTCCTATAATCAACCGCCAGCATGCTTCCCTAAAATGTTTCTCTTAAGATGTTCTAGAATATTATATAAAAATGCATTGTTTAAAGAAACAGGAAAAGCCTTGGGTTGTAGTGCAGGCTGTTGTCCCAGCACCTGGAAGGTAGAGGCATAATGTCTTGCCATCATGCACAAAATTACTTAGAGACACTGATTAAAATTTCCTGAGTTTATGTGAATAAGGCATACAGAAAATGAATGTGTTTATACTTGAGTCCTCTCCCAGTATCTCAATATATACATGAAAATAGCCTACCATCTGAAATACTTCTGATTCCAGGCATTTCAAATGAGTGTTTTCAGCCTGTAAAAGGCACTGACTGCTCACAAGACACTAGTAATGTCTTTTTTTGTTTTTGTTTTTTGGAGACAGGGTTTCTCTGATTTGTTTTGGAGCCTGTCCTGGAACTCACTCTGTAGACCAGGCTGGTCTCGAACTCAGAGATCCATCTGCCTTAGCCTCCTGAATGCTGGGATTAAAGACGTGTGCCACCAATGGCTTAGCAATATCCTAAGACATCCATTAGGCAAGCTTCCCTTTGTGAACTCAGGCCTTTTCTTCTCTACACTGGAACTACCTGGAACTAGCTCTTGTAGACCAGGCTGGTTTTGAACTCACAGAGAGCCGCCTGCCTCTGCCTCCCAAGTGCTGGGGTTAAAGGCGTGTGCCACCACCGCCCAGCCCAAATTATTTTCTTAACTCAGTATCATTTGTCTTCTAGCTTTCCTGTAAATTTGGTTCAGATTTTTGTTATTAAGTAGGACCAACAATCTGTATAGCTGTCCATCTACATGGTGGTGAGACAATACCATTTGCATTAAAAGCCATCCGACTCTTGCCCTAGTGGCCATCTCCCCGGAGAACACACTCAGTGAGTGGTGTGCACAAACCTCCTTCTTGGTGGGCTGTGGAGCAGGTGGTGAGATTTCAGTTAAAAGCTTGGGCAAGTTCCGTCTCCTCGCTGCTTCTCTGTTTGCTGTTTCCAAAGACACCTGACTCGAACTGTCAAGCACCAAATCTTCATCCCCCTGGTCAAAAACACCCGAACAGTTCTAAAGAGGCATGTTCTGTCAACTAGATTCTGTTCACAATGGTTAACTAAAGCATAATCTCCTTGGACAAGAAAACAGGCCTTCAGAATCTACCTTTATCCAGCTCTCACAAAAAGCTGGGCACGAAAGGACAATCCTTTAACTCCAGCAGGGAGTTATAGGGCAGAACCCCAGGAACTCACCAGCCAGCTAACTTAGTTAAAACAGTGAGCTTCAGGTTCAGTAAGAGGCAGTGTTTCAAAAGTCAAGTAAAGGACTGCAGAAGTGGTTCAGCACTTAAGAGCACTGACTGCTCTTCCATAGACCTGGCTTAGATTCTCAACACCCACCCAGTGGTTCACAACCATCTTTACCCAGTGCCAGGGGAGCCAATGCCCTCTTCTGGCTATGCATGCAGTATACAGAATACAGGCAGGCAAAACATCCGTACAAATAAAATAATAAAATGAAAAAATAAACTGGGTAGAGATTGACAGAAAGCCCATTTGATGTCCTCTGGCCTCATCATGGGTACACAAGCCACACATGCACCCACATACACAGGAAGTCATTACACAGAGCAGTGGCATTGTATACTGGCCAGCTTTGGTATCAGTATTATTTGTTAATTTCTCTCGAGTATTTTAGGGCACATTGGCCATTGTGAAACAAGTAAGAATGGCTCTGTTGATAAGCATCTGGTCACCTTTACAGCATCCTTTTTTTTTTACAAGATAATGGAAAATGCAGCATAAGCAGGAAACACAAAACAAAACACACAAAACTGTGACCTTAATATAAAATCTGTCACCAGTACTCCTACCCACATGTCCTTTCTCCATATAAATACTTAATTATAAACCCCATGACCAAATGAAAAACAGGTATCAACACCAATGACTTTAAAAACAGAACCAAGCATGATGGATAGATACAATGTGAATTTCGGACAGGATAGATGACGCGACACAAGAGAACACTTGCTACTGTGATGAACGACGGCACAGGTTTGGTTCCCGGCACACACGGAAAGGATACCATGTGACTCCAGTTTCAGAGGCTCTCACGAGCTCTTTTGAGTACACATGCATATGCGCAAGCAAAATACTCATGCACATAAAAACAATATTTTTTATGTGAGTTTAATACTCTGGATATATGGATCTTTTACTTAAGCAAAGACTAGAAGTTCCTCAAAACAGTGTCATTCAATAGTTTTCTCAGAGACTACATTATCACAGGTACAAAAAAAAAAAAAAAAAAAAAAAAAAAAAAAAAAAAAACCTCACCTAACCATTTCCCACACAAAGGCACTAAATAAAAACTGATGGAGAGTCAGGTGCACGCCTTTAATCCTAGCACTCAGGAGGCAGAGGCAGACAGACCTCTGTGAGTTCGAGACCAGCCTGGTCTACAAGAGCAAGTTCCAGGACAGCCTCCACAAGCCACAGAGAAACCCTGTCTCCAACCCCCCCCCCAAAAAAAAACAAAAAACAAAAAAGCTGATGGAGAGTCAAACATTGTGGTGAATGCCTGGAATCCTAGTATTTAAGCGGCAGAGGCAGAAGTGCTCCAAGTCTGAGATCAGCAAAGGCTACACACAATGAGTTCAAGGCTGCCCTGGGTTTCACAGTGAGACCCTGACTCAAAACCCTACCAAACACAAAAAAAACTATATGTGAGCACAAATATGGGGCTTGACAATATATATATAAGGAAGCCCAGGAGCTGGGGAGATGTCTCAGTGAGAAAGCACTTGCGGCCCTGAGGACTCAAGTTAGGTCTTAGCACCCACATACAAAAAGAGTGTGGTGATTCACAACTCTAACCCAGTGCTGGAGGTGACACAGGTGGATCATGGACCCAACCTGTCCAGTCAGCACAGCAGAAATTGCGGGCTCCAGGTTCAGTGAGAGACTGCATCTTCAAAGTAAAGTGTAGGGGGAGGAGGAAGACATCTGGCATTGAACTCTATCATGTACCTACATGGGCAAGTGCACACACACACACACACACACACACACACACTCGTGCACACACAAATACATGCACACATACATGCTCAATCTAGTACACACATGTACACTATCAACAATAATAGGATTCAATAATAGGATTCAAAATATAAAACCAGCGTTTTTCTAACCTCCAGTTTGTGGCCAGTAGTTAATTTCCAGGTTTCACCTGTCATTTGATAAAAGCGTTCTTCTAGTTTTTTCAATTTCATTTCCTGTTGAGGTTTTAAAACATTCTGTATATATCTGCTGGCCTGTTCAAGAAAAAAAGTGTTATTACTATACATTAGTGTTTCTAGACATTCACATTGTCCATAAAATTATAAATCAAGAACAAGGTCTGAAACTTGTGGTGGTTTGAACAGGAATGGCCCCCATAGGCTCATATATTTGAATGTTTGGTCATTAGAAAGTGGCATTAGGAGGTGTGACCTTGTTGGAATAAGTGTGACCTTGTTGGAGGAAGTGTGTCACTGGGGGTGGGCTTTGAAAATTCGGAAGCTCAAGCCAGGCCCAGACTCATTCACTCTTTTTTTTTTTAATATTTATTTATTTATTATATATACACTATTCTGTCTGCATGTATCCCTACAGTCCAGAAGAGGGCACCAGATCTCATAACGGATGGTTGTGAGGCACCATGTGGTTGATGGGAATTAAACTCAGAACCTCTGGAAGAGCAGCCAGGGCTCTCTTAACCTCTGAGCCACCTCTCCAGCCCCAGACTCACTCTCTTCCTGCTCCTTTCTGATGAGGATGGAGAACTCTCAGCTCCAGCACCATGTCTGTCTGCATGCCTCCATGCTTTCACACCATGATGCCATGATGACAATGGACTAAACCTCTGAACCTGTAAGCCAGCTCCAATTAAATGTTTTCCTTTATAAGAGGTGCCCATGGGCTGGACGGTGGTGGTGCACGCCTTTGATCCCAGCACTCGGGAGGCAGAGGCAGGCAAATCTCTGTGAGTTCAAGACCAGCCTGGTCTATAAGAGCTAGTTCCTGGACAGCCTCCAAAGCCACAGGGAAACCCTGTCTCCAAAAATCAAAACAAAACAAAACAAAACAACAAAAAAAAGAGGTGCCATGGTCATAGTGTTACAACAGGAACCCTAGTCAAAATCATGTATTTGAATATTTAGTCACCCTAGGAGGTGTGGCCTCCAAACCATGTGGAGGTGGTATGTTAGTGAGGGTAGGCTTTGAGGTTTCAAAAGCCCATGCCAGGTCCAGCATCACTCGGCCTGCAACCTGAGGATCAAGATATAAAATTCTCAGCTACTTCTACAGCACCACACTTGCCTGACACCATGCTCCCTGCGATGATGATCATGGACTAAGCCTATGAAACTGTAAGTCGGCCCCAATTAATTGCTTTCTTTTATAAGAGTTGCCTTGATCATAGTCTCTTCATAGCAACAGAACAGTGACCAAGACTCAGAGATAACAAAAAAATATTACACATGTAAAACAACGATGTTCTGGGCATGGTGGCACCATTGATCTCAGCACTCAGGATGCAGGAGGATCCTGAGACTGGGGCTAACATTGGCTACAACAGTAGTCAGGTGGGTGAAGGCACCTGTCACCCCACCAGAGTTCAAACCCTGGGACCCACACAGGGAAGGAGAGAACCAACTCTTTTCATACACATCACACAGACACATGAATGAAGAATAAATAAAATGTAATAAACAAGGTCTTTTATTTAATCTTAAAGGGTCAGCATTTAGCTTGATAATACCAGCACTTAGGGAGTGGAGGCAGAAGAACAGCATCCAAGGTGACCCTCAGTTATTTTCTAAGTTCAAAGTCAGCCTGCAATACAAAAGACCTAGTCTCCAAAATGGAGGGAGGGCACAATTGTATGCCATGTGAATTAGATATCAGGAACTGTTCACACAAAGACCTCTAAGCACAGACACAGTGAGACAGCCCATGGGTGTCTTGAGGGCCGAGCCTTACCTGCTCACCCTGGGCCTCCTGCTGCTTCTTCCTCACAAGCCTCTGTCTTTTCTCATTTTCTTCTTCTCCTTCTGGCCCCAAAACATAAAAGTACTTTTTCATTCTCAAGTCTCAAATAATCAAATATGTCTTCTCTAAAAATAGTCCATAGAATTTAACGTTTTAAAAGACATTAGCACTGCATGTCTTTTATTCTTCAGATAATGAAAATGAGGTACGTTCAACCAGTAAAAACAAAGCCATTTGCAAAGGAACTCTGTAATAAAAGCTGTGTTCTGAAACAATTCACTAACATTTATTATTATATATAACAAATTTCTTGCTTTGGAGACAGTTTATACATCCCTAGCTGGCCTGGAACTAGGTATCCTCCTGCCTCAGGTTCCCAAATGCTATAATTACAGCAACATGGACTACCACACCCAGCCTAAATAGTTTTACTATTACATATTATGTAGCATCAACCTTCAGTGAAGATTGTGCCAATAACCTATCAACCCTGAAGTGAGCCATGTGACTCACACTCAAAAGATGCAAAGGAAGCATTTACAAGGGCAGGAGCCATCAAGGGCACACTTCCATATTTATAAACAGCAGACCTCAGGAGCCTTCAGAGCAACGTAAGCAAGCAGCAGTCTTTCTGATTGCAATACATTGTTTTAGAGTGCTAAGGACATACATGCATACATGCCATTCATGTTTCTACAAGTAAGGTTCACACAAGCCAGGAAAATACAACACACATAAAGCTCCTAATGGAAATTACAATGTTCTTGTTTAATTTCCAAATTGGGTCACCTGAAGTAGAAAAGATCAAAGCAGAGAAAAGACAAAATCTACGATTGGAAAACCCCAAAGCATCCACGTTGTCATATATTATTAGGTTGAATAATCTTTTGCAATTATGGTTTTTTTGCCTGCTTAATGTGAAGAGGCTATACATTTATACCATTCGTTGTACTTATTTATATTTTAGAAGCAATCAACTACAGAGGCTGAGGGGTAGCCTGGTTAGTAGAATGCTTGCCTAGCACACAGAGAACTCTAGGCAGGATCCACAACACCACCTACTGCCAGGCTTGTTGTTAGATGTGTGTGGGAGGCAGGAAGGTGGTGGAGGTGGAGGCAGGAAGATCAGAAGTTCAAAGTCATCCTCAGCTACATAGTAAGTACCAAGTCAGCTTGGGCTTATAGAATACACTATCTCTTTCTTTCTTTCTTTCTTTCTTTCTTTCTCTTGTTTTTTTGAGAGTTTCTCTGTGTAACACCTCTGGATGTCATAGAACTTGGTCTGTAGACTAGGCTGGCATTGAACTCACAGAGATCCCCTGGCTTCCTGGGATTAAAGGCATGTGTCACCACCTGGCTTTGTTTGTTTTTTAAAATAGTGTGTTCTGGCTGGGCTGTAGTGGTGCACTCCTGAAATCCCACCACTCAGGAGGCAGAGAGAGGTGAATCTCAATGAGTTCGAGGCCAGCCTGGTCTACAGAGAGAGTTGCAGGATAGGCTCCAAAGCTACACAGAGAAACCCTGTCTCAAAAAACAACAACAACAAAGCCAAATTCATTACTGGGACACTTTTGTTAGTACATTTAAGAATAGCTGTTAGTTTTAAAAGTAATCTCTTATAAAGCCAAATGCAATACTGTTTTTTGTCTTGCTTTGCTTTGTTTTCAATTTTATGTGTATGAGTGCTCTGACTACATGTATGTCTGTGTACCACATATGTGCAGTGCCCATGGAGGCCAGAAGAGGGTGTCAGATCCCCAGGAACTAGAGATAGAGAGTTGTGAGACCATGTGGGTGACAGGAATAGAGCTCAGGTCCTCTGGAAGAACAGCCAGTGCTCTTAACCACTGCCATCTCTCTGTCCCATGATGTTTACAGTGTCTAAGGCTAGTGAGATAGTTCAGTGGGTAAAGCCACTTACTGCCAAACTTTATGACCTTAGTTCCACCCCTGGAACCCACATGACTCCCACTTAAAACTACACATCATAGATTAATGGTTAAATGGTTCTTTTTTCTTTTCTTTTCTTTTCTTTTTTTTTTTTTTTGATGCAAACTGCATGAGGCTTTATTGTTGTTTAACAAGCTAACCCCATGTTAGCTCGGGTCTTTCATCCACCCACCATGGCGGATGGCTACAAAAGACCAGTTAAATGGTTCTTATTGCAGAATAAACAAAAGAAAGAAATTTGAGTAGAAGAGGTTACTTTTTATTTTTCAAGTTAAAAAAAAATGTAAAGGTAACACAATTAATAAACATACCTGTCAGGTGAACCCGGGAAGGTTTACATGAGTTAAACCAGGAGGTGGCCACAGAGATGACTAGCGTCAGCAGGGCAAGCAGCAGGAATATCCGGCCACTCAGCAAAATGAGATCTTTAATTCCTTAGAAAGAAAAATTGAAATGAAACATTTTTCTTTAAAAGAAACATTCTCACTCTTCTTGCTGCTAGTAACAATCCAGAGGTTGGCTACACCAGAAAGCATAGTGAATGCTAAATGATGCAAGCATCCTGGTAGTTTTCCTTAGTCTCCTGGGGAACTAGGATTCAACCTAGCCATCACTAAGACAACAAACTGAGAAAATAATTCTAGAAAGAAACATCCTGTTTTAGGAAGACACAGTGTTCAGCTGTACTATAAATATTATGAGTATTAATAATGCACAAGATTTGGTTTCTTTATAAATAAGATTGAGGGTAGTATCTTGTCAAATTCCAGTTCTATTTTAGTCATTCCCAAAAAATGACATTAAATTTTTTTCTTCAATAATTTGTTACTTGGGGCACTTGGAGGGGGCGGGAAAGGGCCCCCCCCTGCCCCCCCCCCCCCCC